TCAATAACCCCCCCAATCACTCGCTCGTGATCAATAACCCCCCCAATCACTCCTCGTGATCATAACCCCCCCAATCACTCACTCGTGATCAATAACCTCCCCAATCACTCGCTCGTGATCAATAACCCCCCCAATCACTCCTCGTGATCGATAACCCCCCCAATCACTCGTGATCGATAACCCCCAATCACTCGTGATCAATAACCCCCCAATCACTCGTGATCAATAACCTCCCCAATCACTCGCTCGTGATCATAACCCCCCCAATCACTCGCTCGTGATCAATAACCTCCCCCAATCACTCGCTCGTGATCAATAACCCCCCAATCACTCGCTCGTGATCAATAACCCCCCCAATCACTCGCTCGTGATCAATAACCCCCCCAATCACTCGCTCGTGATCATAACCCCCCCAATCACCGCTCGTGATCAATACCTCCCCCAATCACTCGCTCGTGATCAATAACCCACCCCAATCACCTCGCTCGTGCTCAATACCCCCCCATCACATCGCATCGTGATCAATAACCCCCCAATCACTCGCTCGTGATCAATAACCCCCCCCAATCACTCGCTCGTGATCAATAACCCCCCCAATCACTCGTCGTGATCAATAACCCCCCCAATCACACTCGCTCGTGATCAATAACCCCCCCAATCACTCGCTCGTGATCAATAACCCCCCAATCACTCGCTCGTGATCAATAACCCACCCAATCACTCGCTCGTGATCAATAACCCCCCCAATCACTCGCTTGTGATCAATAACCCCCCAATCACTCCTCGTGAGTCATATACCCCCCAATCACTCGCTCGTGATCAATAACCCCCCAATCACTCGTCGTGATCAATAACCCCCCCAATCACCATCGTGATCAATAACCCCCCCAATCACGCTCGTGATCAATAACCCCCCCAATCACTCGTGATCAATAACCCCCAATCACTCGTGATCGATAACTCCCCAATCACTCGTGATCAATAACCCCCCCCAATCACTCGTGATCAATAACCCCCCCCCAATCACTCGTGATCAATAACCCCCCCCAATCACTCGTGATCAATAACCCCCCCCAATCACTCGCTCGTGATCAATAACCCCCCCAATCACTCGCTCGTGATCAATAACCCCCCCAATCACTCGCTCGTGATCAATAACCTCCCCCAATCACTCACTCGTGATCAATAACCCCCCCCAATCACTCGTGATCGATAACCCCCCAATCACTCGTGATCAATAACCCCCCAATCACTCGTGATCAATAACCCCCCAATCACTCGTGATCAATAACCCCCCAATCACTCGTGATCAATAACCTCCCCAATCACTCGCTCGTTATCATTAACCCCCCCAATCACTCGCTCGTGATCAATAACCCCCCCCAATCACTCGCTCGTGATCAATAACCCCCCAATCACTCGCTCGTGATCAATAACCCCCCCAATCACTCGCTCGTGATCAATAACCCCCCCAAATCACTCGCTCGTGATCAATAACCCCCCCAATCACTCGCTCGTGATCAATATACCCCCCCCAATCACTCGCTCGTGATCAATAACCCCCAATCACTCGCTCGTGATCAATAACTACCCAATCACTCGCTCGTGATCAATAACCCCCCAATCACTCTCGTGATCAATAACCCCCAATCACTCCGTGATCAATAACCTCCCCAATCACTCGTGATCAATAACCCCCCCAATCACTCGTGATCAATAACCCCCCCCAATCACTCGTGATCAATAACCCCCCCAATCACCTCGTGATCAATACCCCCCCCAATCACTCGCTCGTGATCAATAACCCCCCAATCACTCGCTCGTGATCAATAACCCCCCCAATCACTCGCTCGTGATCAATAACCTCCCCCCAATCACTCAGCTCGTGATCAATAACCCCCCCAATCACTCGTGATCAATAACCCCCCAATCACTCGTGATCAATAACCCCCCAATCACTCGTGATCAATAACCCCCCCAATCACTCGTGATCAATAACCCCCCAATCACCTCGTGATCAATAACCTCCCCAATCACTCGCTCGTGATCAATAACCCCCCCAATCACTCGCTCGTGATCAATAACCCCCCCAATCACTCGCTCGTGATCAATAACCCCCCCAATCACTCGCTCGTGATCAATAACCCCCCCAATCACTCGCTCGTGATCAATAACCCCCCCAATCACTCGTTCGTGATCAATAACCCCCCCAATCACTCGCTCGTGATCAATAACCCCCCCAATCACTCGCTCGTGATCAATAACCCCCCAATCACTCGCTCGTGATCAATAACCCCCCCAATCACTCGCTCGTGATCAATAACCCCCCCAATCACTCGCTCGTGATCAATAACCCCCCCAATCACTCCCTCGTGATCAATAACCCCCCCAATCACTCCCTCGTGATCAATAACCCCCCCAATCACTCGCTCGTGATCAATAACCCCCCCCAATCACTCGCTCGTGATCAATATACCCCCCCAATCACTCGCTCGTGATCAATAACCCCCCAATCACTCGCTCGTGATCAATAACCCTCCAATCACTCACTCGTGATCATAACCCCCCATCACTCGTGATCATAACCCCCCAATCACTCGTGATCGAATAACCCCCCCAATCACTCCTCGTGATCAATAACCCCCCCCAATCACTCGCTCGTGATCAATAACCCCCCAATCACTCGCTCGTGATCAATAACCCCCCCAATCACTCGCTCGTGATCAATAACCCCCCCAATCACTCGTGATCAATAACCCCCCAATCACTCGTGATCAATAACCCCCCAATCACTCGTGATCAATAACCTCCCCAATCACTCCTCGTGATCAATAACCCCCCAATCACTCGCTGTGATCAATAACCCCCCCAATCACTCGCTCGTGATCAATAACCCCCCCAATCACTCGCTCGGTGATCAATAACCCCCCCCAATCACTCGCTCGTGATCAATAACCCCCCCAATCACTCGCTCGTGATCAATAACCCCCCCAATCACTCTCTCGTGATCAATAACCCCCCCAATCACTCGCTCGTGATCAATAACCCCCCAATCACTCGCTCGTGATCAATAACCCCCCCAATCACTCGCTCGTGATCAATAACCCCCCCAATCACTCGCTCGTGATCAATAACCCCCCAATCACTCGCTCGTGATCAATAACCCCCCAATCACTCGCTCGTGATCAATAACCCCCCCAATCACTCGCTCGTGATCAATAACCCCCCCAATCACTCGCTCGTGATCAATAACCCCCCCAATCACTCCGCTCGTGATCAATAACCCCCCCAATCACTCGCTCGTGATCAATAACCCCCCCAATCACTCGCTCGTGATCAATATACCCCCCAATCACTCGCTCGTGATCAATAACCCCCCAATCACTCGCTCGTGATCAATAACCCCCCAATCACTCGCTCGTGATCAATAACCCCCCCAATCACTCGCTCATGATCAATAACCCCCCCAATCACTCGTGATCAATAACCCCCCCAATCACTCGTGATCAATAACCCCCCAATCACTCGTGATCAATAACCCCCCAATCACTCGTGATCAATAACCTCCCCAATCACTCGCTCGTGATCAATAACCCCCCCAAGCACTCGCTCGTGATCAATAACCCCCCCAATCACTCCCTCGTGATCAATAACCCCCCCAATCACTCGCTCGTGATCAATAACCCCCCCAATCACTCGCTCGTGATCAATAACCCCCCCAATCACTCGCTCGTGATCAATAACCCCCCAATCACTCGCTCGTGATCAATATACCCCCCAATCACTCGCTCGTGATCAATAACCCCCCAATCACTCGCTCGTGATCAATAACCCCCCCAATCACTCGCTCGTGATCAATAACCTCCCCCAATCACTCGCTCGTGATCAATAACCCCCCCAATCACTCGTGATCGATAACCCCCCCAATCACTCGTGATCGATAACCCCCCAATCACTCGTGATCAATAACCTCCCCAATCACTCACTCGTGATCAATAACCCCCCCCAATCACTCGCTCGTGATCAATAACCCCCCCAATTACTCGCTCGTGATCAATAACCCCCCCAATCACTCCCTCGTGATCAATAACCCCCCCAATCACTGAAATGCGAACCCCTCCCACGGACGGACGGACGGACGGACGGACACATTAATCTATTGGTGGTCTGGTCCACTTCGTTCCTACCAGTATAACCATGACAATATTACGCTACGTCTGCTTCATGGTGGGCGTTAAAGATCCCTCCTGTTAGGACATTATTTGCCACCGTCCAGGGTCCAAGATTGCCAAATACAAAAATGACACCGCAAATTTCTAAAGTGGAATTATACAGAGCATCAATCATCGCTCCCTCCAGGCACACTGATGCCCCGGCTCACTTACAATTGAGACTTTGCTGGTCTCTGGAGTTCGCACCTGGTTAAACTAAATAAACCGTTGTCTGCTCATATACAGGGAGTTTAAAAAGATGGACCCAATTTCAAAGCAGTATATTTCACAATGGCAACATGTTACAAATACACAAAAAGTTACAAACAGTTTAATGAGCTATCAAGTTTTACTAACCATTTTATAAATGCTCTGTGCCCTCCACCTGCTGTACGAACAACATCGAGATAGTTAAATTCGTCCCAAACGCCTCTCAGTGTCTTCTTCCACTGAAGTCACCACTGCCGTGATTCTGTTTTTGAGGTCACCCAGATTAGTCGCTAATGGTGGCACAAAAACACAGTCTTTGACGTATCCTCGCAATCGTATGGCTTGTTTGAGTGCCATGCACAGGTATCTACAATAATGGCTGTTTTTTTTAAACATCATCACTTGATCACTAATGCTCTGCTGTGACTGAATTTTTGGTTTGTAAAATGGAACAGATGAACAGATTATTTGGCAGTTTATTACAATGTTATTTGATCGATATGAAAATAATCATGGCACATATTTGTTTTGGGTTGTTGTGTGTGGCTCATTTGGAAAATACAATTTTATAATGCAATGCTTTGCAATTGCTTTTTATTAAATAGAAATGTCACGAATATCTTTTTTTACATTTGACGCTTGACATGATTTTGTAATCGAACTTCAGGAGACTGTACATACAACTGTATTTAAGGATATAAAATAAATGAGGACTTTTTTCTTCACAATTAGACATTTTCACAAACGCGATAGCCAGTTTGGTATTTTAGAGTAATAATTACATTTCCTGTGTTAATTACCTCAGTTGAATTAGTCTGTGCACTCTGCTTAAGTTGCATTAATACGGAGGTTAATTACACTCATCTGTCAATCACAGCAACTCCAACGCTTTGGTCTGTTATGGACACAACTTAAATAAAACGAGCGGCTCTTGGGCAATGGGCTGCACATCCTTGGCTTTGAGACACGACTTTGAAACTTAATGGCACTGTGATATCACGAGCATAACACGCACTATGACGGCATGCCTTACTAATTTTAAAACTTGTGTCAAACAGAATCTATGACATACAAGCCCTGGTGCATGTATCTGTGCAAGAGGAGCTTTTGAATGTTGTGGCTTGTGTCTTCCTATAACATCTGCAGGTCCACTCTTGAGGAGACGGGGAATTTTGACGTTCTGTTGAACCAATGAGAAGGAACAGGAACGCCAACACGGAGGAGGATCCCGCCATGTGTAGAGGCTTGAGCAGCAGCAGCAGAGGCGCTCAGCCAATGCTGTTACCTCAATCGCGTCGATTTTTCCCTCCACATTTAGAAGCACACGTTTCAATTATTTTGCTGCTGTGAACTTCCACGTGATAAGCCACTTCATTGAGCTATAAATTGTGGCCATGTCGCTTTTGAAAAATAAGCTAATGGCTCCGTGAGATTAAAATAAGTTTAGTTTTTTGTATATATTTTTAAGTGATTTGTTTACCTTGCCTATAATTTGCACTCCTATCGTGTTTTTGTATTATGTTGTTGTAACATTCTGTCCTGCCCCCACTGGACATCTGTGGAAAAGAGGTTTATAGCTCATCGGATTGCTCGAGTATAAAAAAAAATAGCTTCTGATTCTGATTAGCACCGATGCTCTCCTCGCATTCCCTGTCAGAATGGGCTCATTCCACATTGTGAACAAACTGTTCCTCAATGGTAGAACCGTGCTCTTCTAATGCATTAGTGTGAACACACAATAAGCGATGACTTGCGAGTTTCATCGGAACATTTAACAGTCCAACTTTGATAATTATTTGTTCTATCATCTTCGCACAGATGGCCACACGTTAATTGTGCTAACTCACTCCATTGTCCATTTAATCTGCCTCTGGACAAAAGTACACTTTCTGAACAATGAGTTTGTGTTTTTTTGACAATCCACAACATTCATGCCACATTTAGAAGACAAACACATACAACAACAGGAGGTGATATGACAATGAGGGGATATGAAAGGTAATGTGACGATGTGGCTTGACAATGGGGTGGCATGAGTGACGATGAGGTGCATGGGGAGACCTGCGATTAGGGCTGCTCGTCGTCGGGGTCGCACTTGATCATGACTTTGATGCCCTCCCCTCGCCGTGTTACTTCGAACGCCTCGAGCGCCGAGGAGAGCGGGAAGCGGTGCGTGACGAGTGGCTGCACATCCACGTGCCGCGACGCCAACATGGCGATCGCCGTCGGCCACCTGCAACGCCGCACCAGAGACGAAGTCGTTCCAGGGGTCTCACCTGTACCCATCCTGCTCGATTTTCACCCGAGCTACGTTTACTGGGTTCGCACCCGTGTTGTGTTTACTGGTCTAACCTGTGCTGTGGTTATAAGTCTCACATCAATTTTATTTTTTATTTTACCAGGTAAGGCCCATTGAGCTATAAAGCTATTTTTCATAAGCGACCTGGCTATCACAAATGATAGCTCAACGAAGTGGCTAATCATGTGGATATTTATTGCAGCCAAATACTTTAAATACTCTAAACACCCTATGATCACAGCACACATGTGCCGTGGTTATAGGTCTCACACCTGTTCTGTAGTTCTTGCAATCATACATGTAGCTATCAGAATTGCAGCTGTTCTATGGCTATCGTTCTCACACCTGCGCTGGGATGACTTCCCCAAACTCCACTAAACTATCATCATTTTACTGCCACCCCCTGGAACGAAATTTTATCATTTGACACTGTTGGTGTTGCTCCCACTTGTTAACTAGCGGACGAGTCAGCAGAGGAATGATGCTGCCAACGAGAACGAATCAGGGTTCAGGGCTCTGGTGAGCAGCCGCACACCGGCACCGCCGTCTCCGCCACCGCTGCGGGCTCACGTGTTGCAGTAGCGGAAGACGCCACGGATGTCGACCTCCCGCACGGCGGCGTTGAGGATGGGCAGGGTGATGGACGTGGGGCCCATACCCACCAGCACCAGGACTCCCCCGGAGCGCGTTGCCTGGCGTGGCACGCGCACACACATACATACGCGTACATGCACACACACATACGCGTACATGCACACACAAAACAAAGATACCTCAACAGCCTTAACAAGTACTGTTAGGGAGCACCTATGAAGGCTGGCATGGTACACAAGGAGATGGGTGGCCAGCACCATGCCCGGCCGCCTTTGTCTCCCCAGTTGCGATGTTTACACACTGCACCAGGTACTCATTTGAGCCTGAGTCGGCCTAGGGGAGGCTCAGAAACGGCTCAGATAATCATCACTTGTCGGGCATGAGCAGGAATCGAACTTATGTCAATAGGTTCGTAACACAGCATGCCAAGCACTGCATTACTGCTCCCCACACTTGCAAACATGCACACAAACGTACAATAACTGTCGTTAACCACTAAGTGGTGGTGATATCACCACGGGACTTGTGCCATGCTAGGTACACACATACACATGTATTGGAAAAGCATTCTTTGAAACAAATCTGTTGAGAATGGGGAAGGATGCCGCTGGGTTGTATGTTCACGTGTCAGCATGCCGGAGGGGAGAGGACGCTGGATCATGGGTTGTGGAGTGACTTTCCCAGAAATTCCGGTTAATATATTGTCATGACCACATTTTACTCCACCGTTTCATTACTCATTAAATTAGATACCAATCAAACATCTAATAGTTGATGCATTCAACTACCGTATTCATGAAGCACTTTTTAAAAGAATTGGCAAAAAAGTTTTGCATCAAAGCTTTTGTTCATGTATGTACAGTATACAATATAATTAGATCATATATGCTTTGTAGATTTCACGTCAATTGGTCAACCATATATGCAAAATCATTCTGTCAATGGAAAGAAATCGGTATTATAATTGTCTACTATAATAATGGCAAGCCTAAGACCAAATCTCCCAGAATGCACACAATCTTATCAGATCTTGGGAGCTAAGCAGGGTTGAGCCTAGATAGTTTGGATGGGCGACCACCATGCAAGCCGGGATGTTATGTAGGCGGCTGCGGGGCTACGTGGTTGTCAGCCAAGTGCCGAGAAGAGACGTCCAGACACGAGTAAGACAGGGAAGTTGTGAATTCGGTTGTGCCTATCAGTCGGTCACATTCACTCATTGCTTTTGATGGTGACCATAGACCAGGCTTATTAATTGAAGTGGCTGAAAACATCTTAGTCCTTTCCCGTTCCGAGACATCTGAAAGTTGCAGGGTGGGTATCCCGCTCACCACTGCATCTCGGAACACGCAAGCGGTTAGCATTAATTTTACTTAGAGAGGCGTAGTGCCGCTCTTTTTAAATGCATTGTACTCTATTCAATGCAGACAACTGCAGAGACAACAACGGCGCCAAACTGTGTCACACGCCCTCACGCATGGCCTTTTACTTCCTATTCTGTTCCGAATCCATTCCGTTTCGAATCCATTCCGTTCCGATGACGTAAACGTACGTAACCGGAACGGAAATTGGAAGAAAAATTGATGATATACACATACATTCATCATCAGAATAGGAAAGGGTTAATATATATGCACCTCCATGTTCGCAGGTTGCACAGCATTGTTAGATGCAGTTACAAGTTTAAGTTAGTGTTGTTTAACCAAGGGTGAGGACTCAGGAGGCCAGGATAGTCTTATTTGAAAAAGTTACTTGGGTGACCAAAATTACAAGCGAATCAAATCATTAAATTACAGCAACAAAATATAAATCGGAAGAAAAAAACAACAATACTACTACAACAATAGCAATCAAAAATATTCTGAATATAACTCGTAGTTAAATAAAAATTATATATTAAATTCCCTGCAGTGTTAATCGGCTCGTACAGGTTACCTCCCGGTTGATCACAGCGGACGTGCGGGCGAACTCACGTAGATGCTGGCCTGCACGCACGCCTCAGCGCCCGTGCACTCGATGGAGATCTCAGGTGGCGCACCGCCTAGGCACTCGGCGACGCGACGCGCCATGTCCTGCGGGCCGCCCAAGCAGGCCTCGCTGCCCGCCCCCGTATGGAGGACGAAGTCGGCTCCCAGCTCCCGCGCCTTCGCCAGACGCTCGCTCGACAGGTCTGCAAAAACGAAGTGCGGTTACCCACATACGTGCCGAAGAATTTCAACATACGTACGCACGAACCTCTCAACGCAGCGGATCGCAAACTGCGGTAAAGCCCTTTTAGGGGAGGCCACGGGCTGCCATGTGGGTCGTTACATAATACCTGTGGTGGTGACGACGGTAGTCGTAGTGATAATTGATGACTTAATGATGGTGATTGCTATGATGGTAAGAAGTGATGACAATGATAGTGATGAAGATGACAATTATGACAGTGGAAAGTATGATGATGGTCAAAGTGATGATGGTGGCTATTACGATTATGATGATGAAGCCATGTACCTGTGATGACCACCTTTGCCGCCCCCATCGCTTTGGCCACGAGGAGGCACACGAGCCCGATGGGACCTGAGGAATGTGGATCAAAGAGGTGACATCACTCCCCACGTCTCCACAATGTTTCGAATAAATAATACTGATTCCACAGTACCCTCATTCAGACTGCGTGAGGTGAGTTCGTGCAAGGTCAGGTGAGGTGTGATAAGGTTAGGTCAGTAACCAGATGAGGTGTGGTCAGGTAAGGTGAGAAACCAGGTGAATAGTAACCAGATGAGACCAGGGGAAGTTATTGTCCAGATGAGGCAGGGTCAGATGAGCAACCAGTCACCAGGTGAGTAGTAAGCAGGTGAGGTGATACCAGGTGAAGTGCGGTCAGGTGGTAAGGGGTAGCCCACCTGCCCCACAGATGAAGACGTAGCTGCCCAGTGAGACGCCGGCGCGGCGGCACGCGTGGATGCCCACGGAGAGCGGCTCAATGAGGGCCCCCTCCTCATAGCTCACGTTGTCAGGAAGCCTGCACCGGACCAGCACCGCCATCGCCATGGTTACTGGTGAACGCCCCGACACCCCTCCGCCAACCACCCTCCTCCGTAATCTAGTCCAGGCACAGGACTTCTCTCTCCTTCTGTCTCCGTCTCTCTACGAGGTGCATTCATTCTCAAGCCTCCTCATGCAATGTCACAATTAGACGCTCTGCAGTGTCGCAATGTGCTGTGATATAAGCTCAAAGAAACAGTGACACATAACAGTTCCAACCAGCACAAGACAATTCAATGTGTTCCCTTGTTGTAAGCAGCATGGGGAAATGCTCTGCTTTTCCAGTTTTGAGCCAGTGGTGGATATTCCACATGACTCCAGCACAAAAGGTTTGAGGTGACCTAAGTGGAAGAGAAGTTGGCATCGCACATGGTAAGATGAACGATAGGCACATATGGATCCATATATTGATTACAATATATATTAACCCTCGCCACTGCAAAGCAAATTGTGCAGGCTGCATTGAATCATTCAAGGTTCATTCAAATTAATCATTGATATTATGAACCGATGTAGAATGTAGTCCCAACGCATTTAACAAAATCAGTACAAACGAGACGGTCAAAAGGACACCAGAAAAAAAAGGCTGTACATCTCAGATCCAACCACTGGCCCAAATTATAACAATCATTGGAGCCACTGGAAAGGCGGGGGGGCGTGGGGGTGAACGACTCCGACTCTGCTGAACGCTGGGGGCGCTCACTTGTAGCAGAAGCTGGCACTGTGCGTGTAGTAGCGACACAGGCTGCCGTGGTCGGGAGGCGTCGCGCAGAAGAAGATGCTCGGGGAGAGGTTGTAGCGGCCGTTTTTGCAGAATTCATCGTTCTCGCGCGGCACGCCAGGCTCAATGGCCACCCGGTCCCCTGGGCACAAGCGTGACAAAGGCAACAATCCCCTGTATAGCCTTAACAGACTTTTTGGGGCAAGTGCTATGAGCGAGCACCTATGAAGGCCAGCACGGCACTCGAGGGGGTGGGTGGCCAGCACCACGCCCGTCTGCCTTTGTCTCCCGAGTGACGATGTTTACACATCGCACCAGGTACTCAATTGAAGCCGAGTCAACTTAGGGGAGGCCCAGGACCAGTTCAAATAATCCTCACTGATGTTTGCCATGAAGGAGAATCGAACTCGGGTTGCCGGGTTCGTAACATGCTAACTACACTACCGCTCCCATGAAGGGGTGGCCAGTACCACACACAGCCGTTTTTGCCTCCCGAGTGTTGATGTTTACATACCACACCAGGCACCCATTTAAAGCTCCGTTGACTTCGGGGAAGCTCAAGACTAGTGCAGATATTCAACACTGATGTTGGCCATAAGCAGTAATCAAACTCAGGTGGCCAGGTTTGTAGCGCCGTACGCTAACGACCGCAATCCTGCTCTCCATGGACACACGCACACGTGCACATAGACATGCGCACACGGATGGACACGTGGACAAATGACGTTCAGAGCAGGCGATGGATGATGCAGGGTCAAGTCACACAGCAACTCCTAGCCAAACTATGATTCCCGACAATGATTCATTACAATTGTGTGGCAACCTTGTTACGAATGCATCTTGTGTCACGTGCGCTGGGCCCATTGTGAGCATTTTTTAAGAATGTCTCTGAACCGTTTGCGTGTTTTGTGCGTGTTTTGCGTGTATTTTTGCGTGTTGTGCATTCGAGCTCCATAAATGTCACGAGCTGTGAGCACGTTGTGTGCGGCGAGTGCGTCGCCCGTTTTTTTCACCCACACCGCGAGTCTTGTGGGCATCTTGAGCATGTCTTGAGCATTTAATTTACTCTCTGTATGACTCCTGCATGTTATGTATAATGTAAACATGACGAATGCATGTTGAACTTCTTTTGTACTGTATGTGGCCAACCATGCTTATGCAAGGTGCATGGGAAGGACAACAACTAATGCACAAAAAGTAGTTCAAAGATTTAAAAGGTCATAGCTCCAGTGGCTTCCTAATATCGGAAGCGTTCAAGATGGCCGCAGAATCGGATATGAAAACGTGCGATGCAGTGACCGTCTTCGTTCAATGGTTAGCCAAAAGCCGCTGCAGGAATAATATAAGCATAACGTAAGCGTATCCATATTTTGGGCGCGCATCGCGTGTTTTCCTCAAGGTGTGCCGCGAATCTCGTGCTTGTCACGTCGTCACACATTTGCCGCTATACTTTTGCATCTCGCGCAAGTTGCGTGGGCCAGGCAAATGTTCCCATCATGTGTCACGTTCACATAACACGCTCCGCGAACGTTCTATCACAAGGAATCTCGCGCGCGTCACGATCGTGCTGATAGTGCGCTGTGCGCGGTGTGGGCGCGTCCGTGCCGCAGACCAGGAACGAGATGGGTGACGCTGGCCCCCACGGCGCACACGGTGCCAGCCGCCTCGTGGCCCAGCACCATTGGCTCTCGAAGCACAAAGTCTCCAATGCGGCCGTGCTGCCAGTAGTGCACGTCCGAGCCGCAGATGCCCACCGAGTGCATCTTGAGCAGCACCTCTGTTGGGTGGTCACATGGCACAAAGGTGCAGACACACCCACACCTTCACCTTTACTATCACCACCACCACAAAGACAAATATCCCCCTGTATTTCTAGATTTGAAGCTTTCGTGACTGCAAGGATTCATATTCTTAGGTTTTTTCGGTAAAATCACGTAGGTAAAAAATTAAAATAAAAAATTAATAAAAGTAAAATTTAAATTAAATAAAAATCACGTTTCGGAGGCAACACAAGATGGCGCTACCATTCAGATGTATGCCTTTGACATATCAAGGAATCACCGAGATGGCGGGGAAAGGATCATTCCCTAGATACCTCTCTACTTTTTCCACTGCTGGACGAATGGGTGGTTTCATGGTTGCGGTTCGGCTCTTACCGTTGGGGCCCGGCACAGGCATTTCCCGGTTCACCTGCGTACGCAGAGTCAAGGAAGGGAGAGTGTAACTGCAGCGGTGATGAACGCAGCCAGATTGTAAAATGCTCACAAGGCTGTGGCTATGCTCTAACCACTATTCAATTCTGTACCCGATGAGAAAACCCCATCATAAATAGAAAACAACAGTGCAGGCAGGAAAAAAAACGTGTTAAATCATGCATGCCGACTCTTGCACTGATTAGTCCTGTTAAGGATGAAACCAGTCGACAGTTGTCCTGTCTCAATGCTTGCCTATTAGTTGGGTCACATTTTCTCGAATTGAATTCATGGTGATCTAAGACAAGAGGGCCACAATTCCGTTCTTCAGTAACTGTTAATGATGTTTGCACCACGCATAAAATACTGGGTGCTGTGTAAAGCTTAAATGGTTGTAATAAGTCATTAATCTAGCCCACTCGGTTGACTGGAACAATCCATCAACGCAAACATAAACACATTCCTGCTGAGGGAGCTGGTAGGAACGTTGGGTTGCTCGGTCAATGGCCAGGGTTAACGGCGGCGTGGTGTATTCCGCAAATATGCCCGACTGTGAGGGCAGGCACAAGCTGGCGTGAGTAGGTTAAACGTTGAGTTTTATAAGGGCACCACGGGGTGACCAGCCCCTCCCCACCCAGCCCCACCCTCCCACCCCCCACCCAGCCCCACCCTCCTCACCCAGCCCTCCCCACCCTCCCCACCCAGCCCCTCCCCACCCTCTCCACCCAGCCCCTCCCCACCCTCCCCTCCCCACCCAGCCCCACCCTCCCCACCCAGCCCCTCCCCACCCTCCCCACCCAGCCCCACCCTCCCCACCCAGCCCTCCCCACCCTCCCCTTCCCACCCAGCCCCACCCTCCCCACCCAGCCCCTCCCCACCCTCCCCACCCAGCCCCACCCTCCCCACCCAGCCCCTCCCACCCCCTCCCTGCACGACGGACGGACACAATAATCCCCTGTGGGGGATTCTACCAGTATGACTACTCCTGGTCTGTGCCAACTCAAACTCGGCTACATTCACCCCGGTTCTGTCTATTGAGTACTTTGTTGAGCAATGATGATTATTATATCACTATGTAACACCATTTTTTGTTCCTGGGTACTAAGTGTTATTTTTATTTATTGCTTATGCCTAAAAAGTATAGAAAGTGGCTATTATTCCCCACACACTTTGCTTTTGGAAATAACACTACCACTAACATTTTTTTTGTGTTACACAGTGGTCATTCACCTCCTTAACACTCTTCTTCCTCTTCTATCATTGTTACGGTTTCTCATGAAAGTCACTCCTTGATTCCTCCACCCCGCATGTTGAGGACACAGTCTACACCGTGCTGACACAGTGGCTGACACAGGTCATGGAGTTCAACCCCGACCCGAACGCCTGCTGTATATTTGGAGTTTGCGTGTCTCTCTCCCCATGGTTGCGTGGATATTTATCCGGGTCCTCTGGTTTTTCCATCCACATTTAGAATCAACATCACGCGTTTGGAGTATTCGGCTGCTCGAAATTTACACGTGATAAGCCATCTTCGTTGAGCTATCACTTTGGCCTTACCTGGTAACAAATAAAGTTTAGTTTAGACTGATTGGACTTATCCATGCCATGTTCAACCACCAGACCCATCATTCATTATTTTTCCTCTTCATATTCTCATATGGCTTTTACTCATTCCCCATTCATTCAATTCATTCATCATCAAACTTAATTTGGAGCTTTCGTGACTGCAGGAATTATTATTTGGTTCTTTCGGTAAAGTCACGTATAAAGATAAAATAATAAATTAAATTGAATACTACCATACGACGTTTCGATTGCAACACAAGCAATCATCATCAGGTATAAATTAAATAGGAACACAAATCTAGTATACTTAGAAATGTAATGTAATACAACAGAGAGTCGGATAACATAACAGTCAACACCCTATCTGACTGTTATGTTATCCGACTCTCTGTTGTATTACATTGCATTTCTAAGTATACTAGATTTGTGTTCCTATTTAATTTATACCTGATGATGATTGCTTGTGTTGCAATCGAAACGTCGTATGGTAGTATTCAATTTAATTTATTATTTTATCTTTATACGTGACTTTACCGAAAGAACCAAAGAATCATTCATCATCATTTACTTCCATCAATTTAACTTTTACCGAATTCACGCATCACAGATTTGCCCCCATTGCTTCCTCGCATCTCTTTCATTCACCTCATCTCGACCATCATATTCATATGTACCATTATTAATTCCTTGGTTAAAGCGCTATACAAATCCCTTTAAGATTCACTCACCCACTCAACCATTCACCGACTCACTCACCCACTAATCACACTGCAGGTCACAAACACGCTTCTCTCTCTCTGCTTCTTCCCTCACACTGCTACACTCTGGAATTCCCCCCCATCATTTATTTCTCCCCAAGCTTTGCTCACAGAGACGTGTCGACGCTTGCATATTATTACTCGTGCTGTTTGTTGCTGGCCGCTTGACATTTTTGGCCCGTGCTCCGAAACTGACAACAAATACTGCCTCCCTGCATACTCAGTACATAATACTCAGTAGGGCGTCCCGAGAGACAGTCGCGGAAGACGCGAGGAGAAACAAGAGACTGTGAGCGGAAGACACTGAGACGATGCGAGTGAAACACAGATACGTGTAGACAAGACGGATATATGGGGAGAGAGAGTGAGACGCAGAGAGACGGGAGACATGGAGAGAGAAATGAGATTACTCTATATGAAGAGAGACACGGAGACAGATACGAGTAAGAAAGACATACACAGAAAATATATATATACAGTATACAGTACAGCGATAGAGAAACACACGGTGACCAAGACAGACAAGCAATGAGAGCGACTCGCACAAAGAGAATCAGTCCAGTTGACATTTACATAAACTGTTGGGGTATCCCTGTGCACGCATCTTTCGTGGGATTAGAATGCACTGAGAGTGGCAGTACCTACAGTCTACAGCCGCATCGTTTACATCAGCTGATCGCATGAACGTGCAACGCGACAATACACAGAGCTCAAAAACACAACTCACCCCGCACGGCCCAGCCTACGCAGCCGTGGTTCAGCATCAACCAAACTTACACCACCGCTGCCCATCAACGTCAAACCCCCCGGGACCTCCCTCCCCGGGCAGCCTGGCTCGCTCTACCGGTGCAGGCGGCGCGGAACCGGCAGGGCGAGCAGCCTCAGCAAGCCGGCGGGGGATCTGAGAGAGTCTCCCCGTGCTCGAGTTTCTTACCAACACTCGCTACGGCCCGTTACTCACCAGCCGGAGGTCTTTGGCCGCGTACACGACGACCGAGGTGTTGTTGAGAGCAGCCATCTCGTGGCTGGTTGGCAATGGAGATGGTGTTGTTGGCAAGGGGAGCGTGAGTGTCCGTGGTGTTGATGCTGCTGCTATCCTGCAGGGGACACGAGTTTGGGAAATGCAGTTTTGTGGGTTCCCTATAGGGAGCGCTTGAAAGATCCTCCCTTCCTCTTTCCCCATCCCCCGTGGCAAAGGTCGTTTTGTCAACAAGCCCCTTAGTTTTAACTTGTGTCAGCGTTTATGAGTTTTTCATTAAACCGTGTTTACTTACACCGTGCCAGCCTCCCGTTACACAACATCCGACTGGACATCTGTGAAGAAGAGCTTCAATATACATAAGTTCACTGGATGATGCATTCACCAATTACAACTGGGATGTTCCACGTTTGAAGCTCGATTTTCGTTCGACATTTGCAATATCATCCAAAAGACTTAAGGGGCCGTCCATAAATGACACACGGCGTTACAAAAAGTCAGACCCCCCCCTCAAATATGACGTTACAAAGCTGTGCCCCCCACCCCCAAAAAGAAAACATGCTTCGAATCGCTTTAAACTATTGTCATTGTCGTGCGTATTTAATGTGGCGCTGCACTCTGATGTTGTAGGAGAAAACATTTATTAAAAAGTATATTTAATTAAGTATAATGTGTTGTTTATATTTATTTAAAGTTGCGCATTTTGATGTGACGTCAATTCTTTCACGCTACAATTACTTTTACTGTAAATCACATTTTTATTTTTTTTTTAAATGTGGGGGCCAACGCCCGCCTCCCCGCTCTCTGTGAGCGGGGAGGCGCGACGTCCACCCCCTCCACTCCTCCCCATTCCTCCTCGTCGGCCGCCTCTCGCCGGGCCCCCGCCAATCGAGTGATCGCCCCCCCCCCCCCGCGCCAACGCCCTCTCAGAGGGACAGAGCGTATTGGCTGGCTCACCACCACCCGGGGTTATCTCGCACACGTCCACGTACACCACCACAAAAGCGAACGCGGTGGCGTGCACGCGCGCGCCTCGGCAGGCGCGTATTTCCCACGCACGCGCGAAATCACGCGCGCCGCTACAGGCGCTCGTTTTACACAAAGGCTAGCGCTAATGAAAACGGCGGTATGAATATGCGCGCAAACCTCTGGGTGGTTAAGCCCTATTCCGCTTGCACACAAAGGCTAGCGCTAAAATAAACGGAAGTATGAATATGCGCGCGCACCTCCGGGGGGTTAAGCCCTAAACCGCTTGCACACAAAGGCTAGCGCTAAAGGACTGCGCGAATTTGCGCACACGCCTCGCCGTTAATGCTATTGCTGCTGCGTAAACACGCGCGAGCGTTGGCGAGCGAGTTTAACACACCCCGCCCCTGCCCTAATACTCGCGCAGCACGGCTGCTCGGACGCGGGCGCGTCAGCGGCCATCTATGTTTTAATACGCGTGCGCGCCTCGCAAACACACTCAAATTACCAACACCACGCTGAGGTTCCACCCACACACACAAATCACACTGCACCGATACTCTATTCTAAAGTTTATTAACGGCGCGTTTAAAGAAAAACCCTATATGGCCCAGAACAAATATTGTACGAGCAGCGCCTAACCTATTACTACCCAATCCCTTATGTGTACCCCCACTCCATTACTCACCTCACAGACGCACTCACGGTGTCGCACGGACGCAGTGGGAGTCGGATAGACGGCGATCAGAGAGGGCTCTGCATTAGGGTCAACTCGTAGTGGCACTTGTTAGCGTCTCACAGATGTTGCGAGCAGCTGGGAGTCGGTCCAGATGGCTGAATGGCTGTAGAAGAAGTTCCTTTATCCTTCGGTATAGTCACGTAGGTAAATAAAATAATAAATAAAATAAAAGATAAATATAAATAAAATGTTATTCATCTTTTATTTTACGTATCATTTATTATTTATTATTTTATTTACCTACATGACTTTACCGAAAGAACCAAGAGTATGGATCCTTGCAGTCACGAAAACTTCAAATCTAGAAAGTTCCTTTATGATTTTTCGCTCCCCCATTTTTTGCCTTGGGATTCCGAAAATTCAGGGTTATGTAACATCATCCTGCACAGCCAATCGGGCGCCTACCTTTCGATTTTCGAACGTTTCACGGCCGTTACCTAGGGTATTACGTCACCCCCCCCACCCCGTCCATTGTCTCCGTGCCCGCATTCTTCACCCCTTACTCAGCCGGTAAACCCTGAGCGGCCGCATGGTCAGTGCGGACCACGAAATCTCTGCCATAAAGGTAGGGCCTGTAATACTGCACAAAGCAGACCATTGCCACCAGCTCCTGCCAAGTAACACAATACCGCTGCTCAGCCGGCGACAGGATGCAACTAGCATAGGCAATGACCATCTCGACTCCATTCTTCACCTGAGACAGGACAGCCCCTATACCCAGGTCACTAGCGTCTATGTTTGGGATGAAGGGTAGGGAGAAGTGAGGATAAGACAAAGGGACGTTGGAGAGGCGGTCACCTACTGTGACGAAAGCGACCTCCTCTTCCTCTCCCCTTTTGAACTTCTGGTTCTTAGCGGTCAATCCATGTGTAATATGAGGATATATCCGGCTCATTGACGTATCACAACTCGTCATGATGATTGGCTCTGCCAGTCCTGGTTTACAGCCAATGGGGGGAAGCCTGGGGGCATGGCCCTTACGTGATGGAAAGGTGACAGCTATAAGGATTGGTTCTGCTGGCTTTGGCCACAGCCAATGGGGAGATGAGTCAGGGGCGTGGTCCCGGGAGATGACGAAGGAGCCTGGAAGATTCCATGCTGGCTAACAAGGATTGGCGGAAACGTACCACGTGACCCGGGTATTAAAAAGGGGTGGAGACGAACGACACGTGGTCAGAACGGGAACGAACAGAGGGGGGAGGCCACGCGGGAGCGGGGCTCCAAGTTGCCACGTGGCAGTGCGTCTCTCTCTCTATATCTGTCCCTTCACGCTGCCTATCAGTAGCGTGGATTAACTGTAAGATAAGTGGAATAAAAGACGAATTCCAGAAGTCGCCTCAACGAGCTTTATTACATATGCAAGGGCTTTGCAATGGTCGCAAAACGTGGAATGAACCATCAGTAATAGGACGCGAACCCGACAAAACTGTGCTCTTCACCCACAGACTTTGGGGTTGGCCAATCCCGCACACACACTATTTTGTCACGGTCCGTAGCTGTTACGGAACCGCTCACAATGTGCCCCAAGTACCGTACTGAGGTTTTCAATAGATTACATTTAGCGGGTTTCAATTTCAAATTACCAGAACGTACCCTGGATGACACCATACGAAACCGTTGCAAATGCTCCTCGAACGTACGACCGAACACGATAACATCATCCAAATAAATCAGGCACGAGTCCCATTGCAATCCTGCTAGAATTAACTCCATGAGCCTCTGTAACGTGGCAGGCACTGAATGTAACCCCATCGGGAGACAATTGAACTGATACAGTCCGCGAGGCGTAAGAAATTCAGTTTTTGGTTTAGACCACTCATCCAAGGGTCATTTCCAAAATCCCGACAGCAAGACTAACGTTAAAAAAACTAGCACCCGACAGCACGTCCAACGAATCATCCATGCATGTGTAATGTGAGGGTATATCCGGGTGGTTGATTGATCACACCTCGTTACGATGATTGGCTCTACCGGTCCTGGCCCATAGCCAATGGGGAAAGGTCTAGGGGCGTGGCCCTGACGTAATGGGAAGGTGACATCTGGGAGGAGATGATTGGATCTGCTGGCTTTAGTCACAGCCAATGGGGGGACGAGTCAGGGGCGTGGTCCTGGGATCGTACGATGGAATCTGGAAGATTCCATGGAGGTTAACTAGGACTGGTGGAAAGGTACCACGTGACCAGGGTATTAAAAGGGGTGGAGACGGGCAACACGTGGTCAGATCTGGAACGAACGAAGGGTGAGGCCACGCAGGAGCGGGGGTCCAGGTCTGCCACGTGGCACTGAAGACAAATAAAGACCCTGATTCCAGAAGTCGCTTCCACGACCTTTATTACACATGTGTAGTGACATTGAATGAGTCACTGTAGCGTGTGCCGGGAGATTGGTAGACAATTAAATTAGGGGTAGCAGCCTATTCTACCAGGAAGAGCTGGTGGAGGGGGCTGCCAATCGGGGGAAGCGAATGGGCGACTCCGCCATCACTGCCAACCAAGGTTCCACCAAAATTAACCTGCCGCTGATGGCTCGTCCAGGGGCGCCTTCCCTCGCACAGTGGCGATTCGCCGCCACTTGCAAGCTCGCGGGGTGGTCCGATGCGGAGGCGCTACGTATTCTTCCCACCGCGCTGGACAACGCAGCCTTGGCGGAATTTTTTTTCCATTCCCAAGGTGAACAGAACGATACTGCATCAAGCATACGCCGAGTTGGTGGCAATTTTTGACCTGCCATCCAACGCGCGGAGGAAATTCGTGATGCGGAGTCGGGGGGAGACAGAAATACCCCTCGCCTTCCGCAGCACACTACTGTCGCTGGCCCAGGATGCGTACCCAAGGATGGAGCGTGCAGGACTGGATTATCTGGTGCTAGAGAATCTGTTGATGCTGGCTCAGGAAATGAACGTTTTTTTGCCGGCCACAGAGGAAGACGGCCTGTCCTCAATTCAGGTAGCCCGATGCATCCAGGCCCACTGTAACCTGCGGCAACGTGCCGGGGTGGCGGTCGGGGCTGGATTTCCGGGAGAAGAGGGCAACCAGCAGCATCAAGAGTCTCCTTGGCTCTGTGCATCGGGTGGTTATAACCAGCGGGGGAGTGTCGGAGCAGGACGATGACGGGACGAGCGGGGGGGGGGGGGGGGGACCTTGCCTCCGCCATGGCGGGGCCCCATTACCTGCTTTAGGTGTGGCCTACCGGGCCACATCTCCAGGGGCTGCCGTGCTGATTTGAGGCATTTTTTTCCCGGCTTCGCCGTCCTCCGCCCTGCCGGCCTCCGCTCCTCTGGGTCGAAAGGCAGGTCACGATACATCACACACTCCGCCGACACAGCCACCTCATGCATCCCCATTGCAGTTGGTGTCGGGTGCACACGCCATCGCCTCTAATAGTTTCTGTTTCAGTTTCATTTATTTGGTATAACCCTGTGAGCCATGCGGCTCTTGACTCGGGTGCAACCGCAACAAAACAAAAACATGAACAAGAAACAT